GGCAGGCCGGTCATCCCCAGTGGCGGCGAGCCGGCTCACGACGGCACTCCAGGCCTTGACGTGAGGGAGGAAGCCGGAGCGGAGCATGGACTTGACAATGGATGCAGCATAGCGGGTCTGGCCAGCCTTGGCGGCAGCGACGGCGAGGAGGCCGAGGGAGTTGGCGTCGAGGTGGCGGAGCTGGCGCTCATTGCGGAGGCGCGTGATGATGGACTGGGCGCGAGTGAGGCCGGAATGAGAGTTCTGGTAGGAGAGTTGAGAGAGCAAGCGGCTGAGGCAAGTGGGATTGGGCAAATGGGTGGATTGGGTGTAGGCAGTCCAAGCCTCCTCTGTTTTTCTCTGGCGGAGGAGCGTCAGAAGCTTTTGGTCTTCATTGGGTAGTGCGGCGGCGGCGGCAGTGGTGGCGAGAGAGAGGTCTGAAGTTGGGTTGGTGTGGGGGTTGGCGGTGGCGAGTAGGCGAAGGCGCGTGGGGCTGGAGATGGAGGAGGGATAGTGTGGGGAAGAAACCCAATGGAGGGTGAGAGAAGAGTGAGTTGCAGGAAATGGGTTGTTGGAGTTAGAGGTTAGTGGTGAAGAGGATGGTGGTTTGAGGTTCATGTTTGCTCCATTTGGGAGAGAGAGAGAGAGAGAGAGAGAGAGAGAGAGAGGTCTGATTAATTAAAATGATTGAAGGAAGAGTAAGAAGATAATGGAGTATGGGGTTAAGAAGGGGAAGGGGGAGGAGATAGTTGAAGTTTTGGGTGAGTGGAAGTAAGGGTATGTACGTCGACTTTATTCTATCCTCTTGTTTATTTGTGTTCGCGCAGCAACTTGCAGATAAGTTCAGTTTCTATTTTTGGTGAGCTACAGTGACAGTTAAGTAAAAGAAAAATGCTATTTTTGTAAGGAATTAAAAAGTTACTCGACACAAAATTATTTTGGTAATTTGATCATATCGACACAAACGGTTCGTGGGGTTTTAAATAACTTCTTCAGCCCGCTCGAATTTAAGCCCAAACCCAAAAGTCAGTGGGACGGTAGAAAAAAAGAGTTATTTGTTAGTTAAATTCCAAATCCATGAGTGGATTGGATGACAGATTTGCTTGTAAGAATTCAATTCAGTCTGAAATAAAGAAAATTAAAAGAATTTCAGAAAAAGAAAATGAAATGAAATAAACTAGTGTCAAAATCCCATTTTATTTGGGGAGGGGCTACTCCTCATCTTTGAGGAGCCAAGCTTTTTCCAATTTTATTTATTTATCGCACCAAAGTCTTTCAATTTGGCTGGAAGAAGTTTCGATTTGGAAACTAAACTGGGAATGACCCAAAACTAGGAACATATTAGAATCAACCGAAATTTCTTCCATTTGATACAAATTTCCAATGTTTACCATCATCCTCACATCTTGATCACCATATTTTTTTGGAGTGCAGAACCAGATGCATTTACAATGTGGTTTTATCACATCACAATAGGAAGAATTTCCATGCAAACCTGTTAAAGATGGAGATTAAATGCCAGGAATTGGCAAAACAAGTATTGATTGGAAAGAGAAGACCATTCAATTAACTAATTCAATAGCCCAAAGTGGAAACTATTTTCCATTGCAACTAAAAGCATAACTGCAATAATGAAGATCTCTGTACACAGCTTTGTACTACTTCCGTGTTTAAAGTGCTGCAAACCATCCATCTAAACTTTCCCAAATTTCTTTTGTACAGCTCCCCAAGATTCCCCAACTACCTAAACTTTTCCAGGTATATACACATCCCACCAATTAGTCAGTCAACAGAAGCCTATTCTTGTTTCATCAAGATCAGCTCTCTTTTCATCAATGAATATACCACCACCATCACCATTCAGCCACCAATTCATTTTATCTACACACCAGCAAGACCTACTCTAATACTTACAAATCACAGTTAAGTTAAACTGATCATTTGGACTGAGACACTGAATGCTATGAAAGGTGGAATGATCCTTGCCCTTCTGTAATGGCATATAAGAGCTTATCTTTCATCCTCTCCTGAAAAAAGATATGAAAAATATGTAAACATCTAGTTTGTGCAATGTTTTCCTAGAGGAGACTGAGTAACAAGATAAGCTATAAAGAAATAAAGCTCACTTTTGAAGAGTAAGGTGGCAGCTTAAGATAATTTGCACAAGTCATCACACTTGGTAGGTCCAAGTCAGCACAGTTGCTAGAATGCTGTAAAATAGACAAAGCAAACAACGAGATGATCAAACGATGCCTAAACCAAAAATAAAAACCAACTAGGAAACAAGATGCTTTACTGATATGTACCTTTCGAACAATAGTTAACTTCGGACTGAGAGATGCAAAACCTCCTGGAGGTAGGCGAGGTGCCCCAGTCACAAACTGCAGAAACGCTCTTCGCTGTTCTTGGTCAAACTTGTGTATGACTTCCAGCAACTGAAATTGCAAGAGAATAAAAGGAAAAGGCTGATACTAAAACTTCTTAAATTTGAGTGAAACATTAACACAAAGCAAAGATAAAGCAAAACTAACATTAACAATGGGAGGACTGCTAACAGTGTAGCCATGGTCGAACTTGATATGATCAAGGAGCTCATTGAACTGCCAAGAGAAATATTTATCACTTAGGAATATAGTCAATAGTCCTAAAACAATTAAAAATGAAATGGTTGCACACATACAGCCCAAGAATCGCGTTCTCCACATAGTAAATGCTCTAATTCTTCTTCAGTGAATATCTGAAGATGTTCAATAGGGAAAACCTGAACCAGCATAGATAAAAGAAATCATTAATTTATACTGAAATGAAAAAAGCATTGAGGTAATTTAGCCTCCCTCCTTGCATAAAAAGACATTTCATGACAGTACACACCTGGTTGAAACCAGATTTGAAAGCTTCCAATTGTCTAGTAATTCCAGCCTTTACAGTTGCATCCGCCACATATGAAACATAATCTTCCAAGTTTGTTATATTTACCTGAAACATGGGGTGTGTTGAATCTTCGGTTTGCCAAATGAAAGAACTCAGAACAATAAATGGGATCATAGTTAGGCGTGCGACTTACCATTTTATTATCAGGCCTAGAAGAAAGAACAAAATCAGGATAACCCGGAAGTGTAAAGTCAAGGCAAAGATCCTCAATTTTGGTTTTCCTAAAGCATGAGTCAAATTCGAATGTTGCTCCTCCATGTACAGATTCCATAAACTTTTTTCTGTCTATAAGAGCCTTAAACTCTAGCAGTGTCCTGCCAAGCTCAGGATCAAATGACTGGATGTCATACAGACCAAGTTCCTAGGAAACAAATAAACATATGTTTGAGACAAGAAATTGGTAGTCTGCAAAATTGTTAACAAAAATCCACTTCCAACAATAAATAGTTCAGAATTGGGAGAGCACCTGCCCAAGAATAAGTTTATAGAAGGCTTTGGAGAAATGCAGATCCAAGACTCGCCCATCCTGAAGCGCTTTTCCTACAATTTGCCCCAAAAGGACAAACTTCTTAATTACTTCACTGAACTGTATCCCATCAGATGTATCCAAAGTGGATGACCATGGACGAGGGAAAAGACCAAAAGGACATATCAAAATTCCAGTATCCTCAGCGTGGGTTGTACCAGATATAAAAGACCCATGATCCTCTCTCCACATGCCCAGACCAGACTTCTGAAACTCGTGACTAACTAGGGTATAGAATTCCAATGTTGGACCAAGGCCAGTACCAACTTCTTCATTATATTCTACCTCAAGAAGTACCTTCTGACTGGCATGCAGGTCCATCATTTGGGCAGCAGAATCCAGAATTTGGTTGCGGAAAACCAAAAACTTCTTTCGAGGCATGCCTCCAGAGCTTAGACGCCTGTCACTTGCCACCCCTGAATCCCTATACGATGGTGAATGAGGTTGAACTAGTAGTGGACCAAATGCTGCCAACCGAAAGTACTTACACTTGACCTCAAAACTAAATAAAAAAGGACAGGATGTCATCAGCTGATTACACCACAAAGGCATACCACCAATGGACACAGCTAAAGCATCCCGCATCTGCTGTTCCAGTTTTTCTGTCAATTTATTGCTTACAAACTCATTCTGTGGCACTGGAATAACTGACATCTGAAAATTATCCAAGTCATTGATTTTCCCTTCAGCAAAAGCACATATTCTTTCATGAGACATCAGATAAAAGATGAACTTGTTCATGCTTTGCAAGCTTTTAAGAAGATATATTATATCATAAGTAGGACTTGACTTCTCTAAGTCAGAAGCAAGCTCACAAGAAAACATGCTGGAGAAAAACGAAGTATACAATTCATACACCCCAACTTTATCTGATACAGCAGAACTTTCGGCTGAATAAAGACATTCTTTACGAGTACCATCTTGTCCTTCAGCCTTTCTATATGTTAATGTGTATACTTGACTCCACAGTTTTGCACCAATGACAATTTCATGTTCTTTCATTTGTTGTTGCAGAATTGCTTGGTATAGTGTCAATGCCGGCTCCAGCTGTTGCCCATCAAGGTAAAGTAATAGTTTCGAAGAAGAATCTTCATTACTACAAGATGCAGGACACTGTTCTTCCATCTCAGTATCCTCATCAGATGGACATTGCACTAGTTTCTCCACAGTTTCCTGAAACATACACAAACCAACCAAAAGTAAGGTATTGGCACCATCTTAGAGCTGATAAGAAGAATCAGCCATAAAATAGAAGACAAGGAATGCATGGAGGAGAGCAGGAATATAAATAGAAGAAACGGTATTCTATTTATGAAGCTCATAAAAATTACGCAAAACAATTATTTTTCCATCGCTAGGCAACATGAAAAAAAAGATATGTAAGGTGACCAGACAGAACATGAGCTGATCAAAACCACAACTACATTTCAATCAGAAAAACAAAAGGGAACACTAGTTCTAACTTATGACTGCTTGAAATTTTTTCTTAATTAGTTTCATCCAAAGATATTTGAGGACATGTATGTTATAAGCTTATTGCTTGTCCAAGTGCCGACTGTGTTAAATTGACCTCATCTGCTTGGAGAGAAAGTAAGACTGAGGATGAAGAAATGCACCCTACATGAACTCATCAAATAAAATAAAAAATACGAAGAATTTCTGCTCTCTAAAAGAATCATTATCAGTTATAATTAATTGAGAGACTGCAAAAGAAAAACCTGCAACTCAGGTAAGTCCATTGACATGCTCTCAGGGTCCATAGGATGTGGGCTTCCCCCTTGACTAGAGCTTGCATTTGATGGTGATTGAAGTGGTGGACTTTCAGACTGCCCCTTAACTCGTGTAGCTGATTTAATGTGGTTGGTTCTTTTCGCATTGACTTTAGGCCACAGAAATTCTTGAATGGCATGCAATGAAGAAAAGGGGTCAACAGTCAGAACATCTTCTGAGTAATCACATAGGTATGTATCCCCTTTGTCTTTCACAAAACGAACTCTAATACATGTATACGTTGTACGACGTCCGTATGGAACTGCAGCATATGAACTTCTTAACTTGGGTATATGGCTCAAAATAACAGGGAAATTTTCCAAAGAAGATAGTGCATTTTGTAACTTCCGTATTAATGTTATTATGGGTACGTCCGCAGAGAGCAGGTCTGAAGGAGAAAATAATAGCCTTGCAAACACCTCAAATCTTTTTTCTACAGAATAGATATCAGTGTTAACAGCACTAAGTTCCCCCTTTTGTCTCAAGTACTGGCTATTGGACAGGTAAGTCATTAAGGACTTCAGAATTCCACTTTCAATAAATTCAAAAGTGGAAATGGGTTCTCCTCCACCAAGCTTTTCCATT